TTTTGTGATTTTAGCCTTATCTGGTACTAGTCACCTTGGCATGTAAGCCTTCAGTTCTAGATACCCTACCTTCAAATAAAGCCATGACAACATTTGAGGCGGATGTGGTCAAACCCCACTCGTTTTTTGTTGTGAATAAACCTTTAAGGATGTCTGCGTATTTTTATGTTTAGATTACTACACTTTTCAAAACAACTTATGACATCGAACACAATTTGAATTGAGATAAAAGAGGCCAAATATCTCCTTGAAGAAACAAAAATGAATGTTACCCTCGAGGCAGTAATAAGCCAACTAATAATAATAATTTATTCGCAAATAACAGTTTGTTACATAAGGCATGCCAGTCTACAGGCAAGATCAAATTGTTACGAATGATACAATTCCCACTGTAGTAAATTACTCAGCTGGGTTAATAATTCATAAGATATGAATGTAGATGGCTTTAGCCAGTAACACAGTTAGCGCGCTTCATGGGAGCTGCGTTGCGGCGTGGGACTGATGGTCGATAATAGATTTATGTGAAGTTGGGGCTTCTAGAAATCGCAACCTTATATCCCTTTGAATTATCTAAGGCTTTAAGGATGGTGCAGGACGAGGTCATCCGTCCCGTATCTCAACGGGGCTAAAAAATGTTGCAGTAAAAAAAGGACGAGGAGCAGTGCAGACAATATTCATGGAGAAATAATTAGGATATGACTACACAGTCTAATTCTCTTTTATTAAAGTATTTATTGAGCAGGAGCATTCTAACAGGTTAAAGAAAATAAGTGTAAACAAGGTATGAGTGGATAAACAACTGATAAGTGGAGGTGAATCAGAAAGAAAATGAGAGTATGGGAATATGTGCAGTTATAAAATATCATGCTAAAAACAGTATTATGATACACAAATGGCAGTCTCCTTTTTTGTCGACGTTATTGGGGCCTTTTATTAGATTTCATTGGGTCTTGAGTAGGCTTCGTTTTTAGCGAATTGTCTAGTTTGATTGGGTTGTAATAGGATTACTGGGTAGGCAGTGAAACTAATTCAACGTTCTGAACACGGTTTAATAAGGCATTTTGCATGATAAATCAACATCAATACCATTAGTTCATGACATTCCACTAGACTATAAGGAGCCGTAATTTAACAAAATGTTCTGCCTTACAGACGTGGGTCGATTGAAGTTATCTCCCTACCATCATGTTTGCTGGTCAGTAACGCCACCCTCCCTCCTTTTGTGATGTTAGGCTCTTACGTTTTTGGTAAGTATGCATACTGCTTTCATCAAAGTCCATAGTTGGAATACACTGTCTCTACTAACTCCATGTTACAAGCAAATCAGATAGTTAAAGCGTTTGTATTATGGGTTAGATGTCCATTTAGTACATCATACTACTATGAAGATAACTAATGGTTAATGTTAAAAAGAAAAACAGGTTAGATTATATGTGGATTAAAGATGGTACGGACTAATAGTAAATCAAAGGATATGAAGGAGTATAAAATTGTAAAGTTAAGAAAAATAAAACGTTGAGCAACTCACAAGACTTTATGATCAATTTCGAGCTTCTTATGATCGGCCTTAGTAGATCAGCATCTATAAGTTTAGTGAATTATGTCTACTTGCAATAGAAAAAAAGAGATATGACACCTAGGAAGAAAAATGTACATTTAACCAGTAGAGAGATTTGGGGAGTGAAAGTGAGGGTTAGGAGCATTAGGCTTTGATTAATGGACAATGAATAATAGGAAACGGCAAACCATATGTCCTATAATTTAGTTATATTTATATTAACAATGGTCGGACTCGTTATATTCTTGTTCCGTCTAGATATTAGGCGGTCCATATTAAAGTGCTTCATTAATGGGTGGAAAGATTGAAGCTCTTTAGAGTCTAGAAACAGGGTTAATAGCCTTTTGAATCTGGTAAATGTGTCACAGTTACGGATAAGCATTGGCAACCTGTCCCACGATAAACTATACTGTACGGTAAAAAACTTACAACGCATTTATTCTTGGTGTTTTACGGTAAGTGGTGTATATACGTTGTTTCTTAGTCTATAGGCTGGGTCGTGGATCATATTTGGGCAGGAGGTCAGAAATGAGAGCCCATATATCGCTTTGTAGAGAAATATTAAATTATTCTGTAGCGTACGATGCCATAAAGGTTCTAAAGATGGTGCCTATATCTATCTATCTGTGTAGTCGACAGTGGAGTCACATCCTAGCAGTTGGTGTAAAGCGTCTTTGGACATCTACTCATCTTGTCTATGGTATTCATGTTTGAGAAGATCAAAGAGCGATATTCAAAGGAGGGTCATATACTTATTTTGTAAAGGGTAAGCTCAGACTCTATTGTGAAGAAATTTTTCATTATGAAATCAATTAGCTGTCAAGATTTAGAAATAATAGAGGGAGTATGTTCTTCAGATTTTAGTCTTCCTGCATAATTAATACCTAGATCATGCACTGTTTTGAATGTTTGAGCTTCACTTTTATGTAAGTAAATTTGTAGTTCATAGGGATGTTTCCCAGTATGAACGACCTCACACTTGTTAATGTTAGATGGTAATTACCATTTCTCACTTAGATAGTTAGGTCATTTTGAATCCGGGATACACTTTCACTTAGAGTTTCAGGCTTAAAGCTATATACTATTTAGAGATCATCAGCATATATGTATGATCTCACAATTTGTATTGTGTTGCATATATCGTTTATATACATAAGAAATGGGAGTGGACCTAACACACTCCCCTGGATGAATCCACTAGTTATTGATCTGTGTGATGAGAGAGAGTCATCGTATTTTACCATTTGTTTACATTCTGTTAAGAATCATGAGTATAGTGAGTTGTTGCTCCCAAAAGATTTTAGTTTGACGAAAAGCATTTTGTGTAGGATTTTGAGAAAAGTCTTTTTTTAAAGTGTAAGAATAAAGCTGATACAAGGATTCGATTGTTCTTCTTCTGAGTTGTGTCATTCAGGTAGTCTTCTATACATGTGTTGCATGATATGGACCTAAGAAACCTATGCTGGGGAGGTCGATATGAGATTATTAGTAAGTAGATGTTGAACTACCACTAATTTAGCTACTTTTCCATCACTCTAGATACCACTGAAGTTATGTTTATGGGCTGATAATTTTCAACATGTGCTTCAGTTCCTGTCTTAATGTAGTTCTCCAGGCAGTAGGGCAACATGCTATAGTGAATGGTATCGCAAATAGTTTGAGAAGTAAAACACACAGGTTATCACCACTTTATAACATGTTAGCCGGAATACCATCCGTGTAAGAGTGTTTCAGTGTGTCAATTGCCTTAGAAGTATTCTGTATATGGAAGTTTACATTAGTAATTTCACAGGAAGGTACTAGGATTGGTGGTGATTCATGTAGTGGTTTTTTGATAGCCGATGAGGAACAAAAGTGTTTACTAAATAGTGCCGTAACAAAGATGGATAGTGGCTAGCAGATGAATCCTGGACATATATTTCGTCTGTTTGAAGCTTGTTAGCAGGACATAGATTGGATTAAATCATGCTGATTGCACGCTCTCGTTGACCCACGCTGATTGGTTAATTATTGTCCAATCAGCGCTAGTCGATACTTCAAGAATACTCTAGAAATATTTTCATGTAAAAACTATAAATATACTAACGTTTTTCCTATTGTGCTTCTCATTTCCATCTAACCTTGTTATTTGGAATATAATCTCCTTTCCTGTTAAACCGTGTTCTGATTTGAGCACTTATCGAGCGAATTGGTGTCCGAGATTACTAAGCAATAGGAATATCTGGGTTATAACCGTAAGAGAGAGAATTATAACGGAGCTCGTCAGCTGGATATTCAATAAGTGGTTCATATCGTTTCGGCGCCTTGACTGAAAACCAAGAAATTTCCGGCATGTTGAAGTCATCGGCAGTACTAGAGCATTTGGGGAATATCCGATATGATTTCTTAAACTAGTTATGTTATTGGACAATAATATATATATTTGTCTAGTCAACTTGCTTTTCACTGAATTGCACTGTTTATCATGAAAATACAAGCAAAATCTCAGCGAATGTATTTGAAGTAAATCCAACTTATCGCCTGGTAATCTGCTCTAATTTCTGGTTCAAGGAAATATAATCAAACATCAAAATAATCGAATATTAAATAAGTACATGGTTCTGGATGATGTTGATTATATTTCTTTGAACAAACATGGGCTAGACTGCCTGGTGAAACGTTGCATTTTCTTTAAATTCATTCGCTGAACATTTATTATTTATTTTAACACATAGATATTGGTACAAGGAGGCACCAAATACATATGCGCCACACAAATCTCATTTGATATGTGTGAGGGCTGTGATAATGCCCGGATGCCCAGACCGAAGCAGGTGGTTTTCTTAGGGGACCACACCCCAAGCCTTCGACTTGAAGGTCTGATCCACAAGGCAGTGGAGCATCGTGAAGAGATGAAGTCCCATGGGAGCCGGTGAACAACGATTGGTTCATACGCCATTTGTTCCTTCAGGATACTGGAGCCAGCCCATGTGCACCATTGGTTTGGGATCCGGTTAAAGCCAGTGCCGGACATTCGTTTTTCGTCCTCTCATTTTCGTAAACAACACCTTTGTCGAGAGAAGGCAATGAGTAGAGCTTCCTTGGCAGAGGCTATATACGCGTGGCCATGTGAGAGCATTTCGAGAGGGAGAGCGAACTCTTCCCACTGGTTGGTATATAAACCTAGTATGTTTGAAATAAATGATTGAGATTGGTGTTCTGGATTTAACTAGCTGGGCTAGACAGGAAGCAGAGCCAATAAGGACTTTAGACTGTTCGTACAGGTTTTGAGTATCATTAGTTCAATCGATAATTCACTACTTACTCATTAGCGGTATGATTACGTTATTACATTGATAGGGTACACAGATGAAAAGTTAGAATAAAAAGATAAGCATAGTTCATTCAGATAAAAAAAATTATTCATCAAAAATTCAATAAACAACTATTTTATTGTTCCCATTCAATAATCTTCTTTAAATGGATATTCAGGATGATCAATCATTCTGTTAAATAAAATATAGGATAAACATTAAATCGATTTATTGAATATCAATATGGAACAGTTAGATATATCATTGATGAACAAGAAAGATTCGATGCTGACGTAAAGGTGAGGATTGGTAAAGCAAGGATCTTATTCCTATAGTTGAACAATATATGGAACTTAAAACAACTGTCTGTTAACCAATATCAAAGTCAGAATCTTCAATACGAACATCATGAAAGTTCTACTGAAACTTGGAGAACTATCACAACCGTCATCAATAATGTATAAGTATTTATAAACGATTGTCTACGTAAGATACTGAATGTAGGTTGACCGGATACCATCAGCAGTAGCCTATTGTGAGAGAGAACAAACTAACTTTCAGATGAGAAGGAAATTAGAAAAAGATATTGGAATTGGATAGAACATTCATTAGGGAAATCACTAAACTGCATCACAAGACAAACGATAACTTGGAATCTTGAAGAAAACGGAAAATAGGAAAAGCTGGATTGCATACTACGTCGGGAATTGAAATCGGACATGGAAAGGATGAATGGCAATTTGAAAAGAACATGAAAACATTGCCCAGAACAGGATTGGATAGAGAGTGCTGATGGGCGGCCTATACTCCTGATTGAGCGGTAAAAGGTGTAAGTAAACAAGACATCTTACAAATGATAAGTGCACAAAATTAGCTAAGGTTTAGTTTCCTTCTCTAAGGAATGAGAATATATGTAACCTATTTGATTAAATTAAATCTACTCTCATATACTTACATTATCTACACTGAGTAGTTACAGAAGTGACCCGTATTAAGTGCTAATCGTATTCAAATAATGGAAGTACGATTCAGTTAGTTACCTACCTTTATTAATTTGATCTTATCTGTATTATAGACTAGTTTAAAATGATTGACGACATAAACACGAAGTCCTGAAGTCTCAGTTTCATTAAGACTGCATATACGCCTTGATGATGAACGTCAACTAGCTAAAGACTTAAGTCGAAAGCTTCCTAAGAACTATTCAAAACCATATGGGACTTACACTGTATTAAAGACATTTTGCTTAAACAAGCTAGGAGAATAAGAAATAATGAAGTTATGAGGGCCCACTTATTCTATAGAGCGTTTAAATAAATAAGGAGTTACACAAAACAAAAAAAAGATGGATGATAGCTAACAGTGGAATGCAGGATCCGCGTTTCACCTTATTTAGACAGCAATTGATTAATCTTTTATTCGCATATATGCATCCAGCTGACGAGTTCCAAATAGGACGAAACGCGAAATTTGGATTCTACTACTAGTCACTATCTATCTTTGATTAGAATGCTTGCGAATCAATCAAGGCAATGCGCAAAGTCTGCACATATTCTAATAAGAAACTGATCAATCGCAGTCGTAAACATCAATAGTACGAGTTGATAAGTGATGTAAATATAAACTTTAAGATATGTAAAGCAAGCTTGTGACTTAAGGTAATATGAAGGTATTCCGCACAGGATGCACATATACCAACGAGAGACTGATCAATTACACTCCTAAATAACAAACGGGAAGGATACAAGGAAACCACACCAAATGATTGTTAACTTCAACATATTGTAAAATCAAGTGGTTATCAGAACTCAGTATCTACGTGGATAACGTGTTGGCATTTGAAGTGAATGAGTACCAAAGTGGACATCATCTCAGATTCAGATATATCCAGCTGACGAGTCCCAAATAGGACGAAACGCGCATCCTGAATTACACTGCTAGTCACTACCCATCTATTGATTAGAATAATTGTAACTTCAGCCAATATCGAGACAGTCCGCACAGGATAGCACGTATACCAATAACAGTCCTAAACAACAGTGGAAAGATACAAGTAAACAGCATCAATTGAATTTAAACAAATACATTTACCCGAGCATTTTAAATTTACGTTGATTTAATCCTTTCGTATTCAACTGATGCATTTCATCATTTGTTAGTTCAAAATCAAATACCTGAGCATGAAAAGGAAGGAAAATTCAATAGAAAAATGTAACTATTGTTGTTGTTTTGTGTATGTGCATGAATACATATACAAATCCGTAGTGTATAGAGTAGAGTATAAGCAGTAATCGGAAAGGTTTGTGTTTAAAAAGATGTTATTGAAGGAGTATAATCCAGTGGAATAGATTTGGAAAGAAAATAAAGGACATGAAGAATTCAGAAGACTAGAATTTGGGAGAACACAAAGAGTGGATGCACCTGTGCCATTGCAAACCATTTTGAGCCATGTCATTCAAGGTCTCTAACCATCGGTTGCTATCATCTCGCGGATCCCAACCAGGTAGTCTACACCTACCAACATGGCTCAGTCCACTTGTCAGTGACTTCATGGATTTGTGCCATGTTTTGGTCTGGTCGCCCCTAGCTTTCTTCCAACCTACTCCTACACCATCAAATATCGCATGTCGGGGCAGTCGGTGGTCGGACATACATAACACATGTCCCGACCATCTCAACTGATTAGGTTTCACTACTTCATCAATTGATTTGCCATCCTTACCTAGTACCTGTTTCCTAACAACTTCATTACTTACTCGGTGGTCCCAGGATATACGAGCAATGCTTCAAAGACACCTATGATCGAATACTAGTAACCTACGGCGCAAGTTGTCAAAAGCTATTCGAGCCTTCTGTATCCGTGCTGAGATTTCGTCACACACCAGACCACAAGAGTTGGTGAGAGATCCCAGATAAGTGAAGCGGTGGACATACTCCACTACTTCACTCCTTATCATGAATTCGGGTGTCGATACAACCCAATTCTGAAGTAACATTTTGCATTCCGCGGGAGAGAATCGCATGCCAAACATGCTTGATAACTGGTGAAATCTATTTCTGGACTAATATGATACATATATATTTATTGTATTATTGTAAAAATAACTAAACTATGCATATTCATTTTCCTCATACTACAAGCTTTATTTTGACCTATAGACGATTATTATACGATTTACCAATCTTGAGTTATGTCCAGTCTATTAATTACAGTTCTCCTATGTTCACAACCACTTTTGGCTTAATCTTATATAAATGGTAAGGTGTGATCTGTTTAATTTGTCCTACTCACTGCCTTCACGTGGCGGCGGTGTTGTTTACGAAATTGAGAGGACGAAAAGCGAATGTCCGGCACCGGCTTTAACCGGATCCCAAACCAATGGTGCACATGAGATGGCTCCAGTATCCTGAAGGAAAAAATGGCGTATGAACCAATTTCTTGGTCACCGGCTACCATGGGACTGCATTTTTTTTACGATGTTCCACTGCCTTGTGGATCAGACATTTAGATCGAAATCTCGGGGTTTGTCCTCCCAAGAAAACCATCTGCTTCAGTTTGGGCACCCGGGCAGTATCATAGCCCTCAGACAAATCAAATGAGATTTGTGTGGCGCATATGTCATTGGTGCCTTCTTGTACTAATAACTATGTGTTGAAATAATAATAATATAAAATATTCCGAATTGTATAAAATAATTCCATAAAATGATATCTGACAAATCAGTCATTCAAAATAGTATGTTCTCGTATCAAATGACACAGATGATACGCTCGGCAAGCTCGGACAATTCACTTGTTATAATAATGGCATCTTATAAGTAAGAGGTAGGCAAAAATCGACTATTGTATATAAGCGAAGACAAAGTTACCAAATTATTTATTTTTTTGAACACATAAATATTGGTACAGGGGGGCACCAAATATATATACCAAATACATTTCTCTCATTCTGAAAGCATAGATTATTTTAACACATAAGTATAGGTACAGGGAGGCACCAAATACATATGCGCCACACGAATCTCAATTGGTTTGTGTGAGGGCTGTGATACTGCCCGGGTGCCCAAACCGAAACAGGTGGTTTTCTTAGGGGGCCACACCCTGAGCCTTCGACCTGAAGATCTGATCTACAAGGCAGTGGAACATCGTAAGGAGATGCAGTCCCATGGTAGCCGATCACCAACGATTGGTTCATACGCCATTTGTTCCTTCAGGATACTGGAGCCATCCCATGTGCACCATTGGTTTGGGGTCCGGTTAAAGCGCCAGACATTCCCTTTTCGTCCTCTCATTTCTGTAAACAACACCCCCGCCACGAGAAGGCAGTGAGTAGGACTTCTCTGGCAGAGGCTATATACGCATGGCCATCTGAGAGCATTTCGAGAGGGAGAGCGGACTCTCCCCACTATCGGCCGTACCAGGGCATTTGGGGGCGGAAGCATAGATATATAGTCCTGAGTTGTATAGAGAGTTATTCAAATTCTAAGCAATGTATTATTCATATAAATTAATAAGACCGAATGTTCTGAGTTCAAATCCCATGTGTGGGATCATAGATACCTACTGTTGAAGAGTTCAATACTGGGATCAAACAATTGTCCAGTTCTTTTAGATTTCTAATGATCGTTAAGCTTAGATTGACTTATGAAACTGGTTTTATCAAGGAAGTAAAAACAAGAAATGACCTCTTTACAAAAAACAACCAAAAAAAGAAAGAAAGTAACAATAAACAAACCTGAAAATTTTCTATTATTCTATCATTTGTAATTGATTTTGGTACAACGATGATATTACGTTGAAGTAAGTAACGTAATAAAATTTGTGCTGATGTTCTATTGTGTTTTTGTGCAATAGCAATTATCCAAGATTCAGTTAATAGATTCTCTGTTAAACTATAAAAGAGAAAAGATTTATGTTTGAAAATGAACAAATGGAACTGTCAAAGATCATCATAGGCGGATGATCTCATTGTATGTAGACTGATTTCTATCTCTTTAAAATGCCTTGAAATGAATAAGTTCTTGTTATATATTGAATGCTTGTTTTGTTGTTCATATCCTTACGTGTTAGCTTAAAACACGAAAATCACTGAAACATTCTGTTAGAATCCCGTTATTGTTCCTATCGCCCTCAAATGCCCTGGTATGGCCGAAATGTTCCCACACGGCCACGCGTATATAACTTCTGCCAGAGAAGTCCTACTCACTGCCTTCTCGTATCACGGGTGTTGTTTACGAAAATAAGAGGATGAATAGAGAATGTCTATCGCTTTAACCAGATCGCAAACCAATGGTGTACATGGGCTCCAGTATCCTAAGGAACAGATAGCGTTTGAACCAATCATTGGTCACCGGCTACCATGGGAGTACATCTCCTTACGATGCTCCACTGCCTTGTAGATCAGATCTTCAGGTCAAAGGCTAGGGGTGTGGCCCCCTAGAAAAACCATTTGCTTCGGTTTGAGTACCGAGGCAGTATCACAGCCCTCACACAAATCAATTGAGATTCGTGTGGCGCATATGTATTTGGTGCCTCCTTGTACCAATATCTATGTGTTAAAGTAAATAAACTTATCCATTTGGTTAAATAGAGTTTCGTCAATTCGTGATGAAAACCATAAATCAAATTTCTAGCTTTAATCGTCAATCGTATATTATAATTCTAATTCGTCACATTAATTTATAATCCTCATTTAATCCTAGTTATCAGGTAGACACTCTCAAGGTTCATCTAGCGTCGCTCAAATTTATTTATTTTAACAGATAGATAATGGTGCAAGGAGGCACCAAATACGTAGGCGCCACACAAATCTCATTTGATATGTGTGAGGGCTGTGATACTCCCCGGGTGCCCAAACCGAAGCAAATGGTTTTCTTAGGGGGCCACACCCCTAGCCTTCGACCTGAACGTCTGACCCACAAGGCAGTGGAGCAACGTAAGGAGATGCAGTCCCATGGTAGCCGGTGACCAACGATTGGTTCATACGCCATTTGTTCCTTCAGGATACTGGAGCCATCCCATGTGCACCATTGGTTTGGGGTCCGGTTAAAGCGCCAGACATTCCCTTTTCGTCCTCTCATTTTCGTAAACAACACATTGGATGTGAGAAGGCAGTGAGTAGGACTTCTCTGGCAGAGGTTATATACGCGTGGCTATGTGAGAGCATTTGGGAAGGGAGAGCGGACTCTGCCCACTCCCGGCCGTACCAGGGCATTTGAGGGCCGAAAATTACATGGAAAGATATGAAATCTGGAGTATGGCCATACAAAATGTTAAGGATGATAAATTTGTAGCTCATTTCCTCACATTCATCTGAATGGATGCCTACAGATTACTAAAAGGTTTGTGATTCCCAGATAAGCTTACATTACTCCTTAGAAACTACTACTAAATCATGTAAACTGTACTAATTTTGAATGCTGTAAACAAGCCAAATTCCATAAAATAATTCGCCAAGGCAACCAAAGAGCTACAGAATTTATCCTTAAATTGAAATAACAAACCGCAAAGTATAATTTTGATGATTAACTTCATGTGTAGCTATGTGGTCGATTAATTGCAAGAATTAACATACCAAATCTAGAAATAGACTTTATGCAAATGCTGAAGTATTCCATTCAAGATGCTAGAGCTGCATATATTAATTATGAGGCAGTCGTGAAACTGACATCCGGAACATCAAAAATTCTACTCCATTACTTAGTTATCCCAATCCAATGAGTATTCAAGATCATGAAGATAACAATTCATTGAAGAATTGAAAGGAAAGTCATGAAGATAAGCATGAGTTTACTTACTTACTTACGTAAAGGCGAGGATTGGAAAAGCAGGGGATGCATTCCTTTAATTGAAGAACATATGGAACTCAAAACAACTTTCAACCAATATCAAAGTCAGAATCTTCAATACCAACGTTAAGACAGTTCTACTGTATGGAGCTGAAACTTGGAGAACTACAACAACTACTATCAAGAAGGTACAGGTATTTATCAATAGCTGTCTATGCAAGATACTCAACATCCATTGTCCGGATACCATCAGCAACAGCCTTCTGTGGGAGAGAACAAACCAGCTTCCAGCTGAAGAGGAAATTAGGAAAAGACGATGGAAATGGATAAGACATACATTACGCAAATCATCAAACTGAATTACGAGACAAGCCCTAACTTGGAATCCTGAAGGGAAGGGGAAAACAGGAAGGCTAAAGAACACATTACATCGGGAAATAGAAGCAGTTATGAAGAGGATGAACAAGAACTGGAAAGGGTTGCCCAGGACAGGGTTGGATGGAGAATGCTGGTGAGCGGCTTATGCTCCTTCACGAGGAGTAACAGGCGTAAGTAAGTGAGATTGTAGTATTTATACGAACTAATGATTCCTCTGTACTGGACTATCCGTTTACTATGAATTCTAAATAATAATGCCGTAAATTGCACTATTTCGGGAATTGCTAGTTAGTACAATAATTTGAATACTTCTAATCATCATATCAACACACGTCAGCAAACCGCAAATGTCACCTTGAGGGAAATGATGTCCCTCGTGGGGTTCCACAGTCTGAGACATTACCACTGAGCTACTTAGGCATCCACCACACACCTGTAGGACTGGGATATTTACAGCTAATTAACTAATTACTGAGTAGTGATAGACGTTATGTTTGTCTGGTTCTCCAGTACTGATTAAATTCGATCAATCAAGTTTTAGTGTATTCTGAATGGCTCAGTGGTGACGTCCCAGGTTGTGAAGCTGTGTGATGCTGGTTCGAATTCCATAAACAACATCAGTTCCCTTAAGATTGTAAGTACAAGTTGTTGACGAGTGTTTATCAGCACTTAAAGTCGGAGAAATATAATATTGGTTACTACTTAGCGATCACTAAATTTCATAACCTAAATTACTATATAATTACAAGTATACAGAGCTGTAAGGAAGATTGCATCAACATATACCAACAATGCACCAAATACATGAAAGAATATATAGAACAGTTTACTTACGGTGAACGAGCAGGTGAACCAAGCGGAGCATAAGCAGTCACAGTCAAATCGACTGACTGAGCATATTCAACTAATTTTATGTTAGGAAAATTGGCATGAACTTCAATTTGTAAATTAACTGGTTTAATACGACAATGTTTAAGAATAATATCAATTTGTCGTTTATTGAAATTTGATAAACCGATTGATTTAACTAAACCTTCGTCGACTAGGTTTTCCATTGCCTTGACAGATAAGGAAAGAACAATAGGAATAATAATAGTGTATTTGTGAATACAACTGGTACATTATTTCAGTGTAATCTGTACATACAATTGTAACACACACAGATATAGTAGAAATAATCTACTGTTCAAAAGATAGTTATCGTTTTTTATTGAGGTTACGAACTGATTGATGTTAGACTCAGCACTGAAAACCTGGAAGCACTGGACGATCTTTTCATCGTATTGACCAAAGGCTTTGGGCTCGTGTGCGAACGCTTAACCTCTAGACCACTAAGCCGGCCAGCATCCAACGGTTTTAAAGTCTAACTTCAACCAATCCACAAAACTGAGCGACCATCTTCCATTGTACTGAGGTTTCCAGAAGTACCGTAATGATAAATCGATTGTTATTCATTAATTAGGTTGACAAAATCAAATTTGTACGTACTGATTCTTTTATTATGATATTTATGAAGATAGAATCAATGGATGAATTCTAAATCAAAATTGAAATTGTCATATAAATAATACTATTAACTTTCAAATTAATTATAATCACTGTCAGTTAGCAACAACGTAGAACTTCGTACGTACGTATATAAGTTCAAGTTGCTATACCACATTAGCACAGAGATACAATTGTCGATTCGAATGCCATAGTGATAGAGGTACTAAGAGTATAAGCAGTAATCGAAGACATTAAGGTTTGAAGATGTTATTCAAGGAATATAATCCAGTGAAACAAATTTGGAAAGAAAAAAAAAGACATGAATTTAGGAGAACATAAAGAGTGGATGCACCTACGCCATTGCGAACGAATTTGAGCCATGTCATTCAAGGTCTCTAACCATCGGTTGCTATCATCTCGCGGATTCCAACCAGGTAGTCTACACCTACCAACATAGATCAGACCACTTGTCAGTCATTATAGATGATCTAAACAACAGAGTTAACTCATTAAGAAATCCATAGAAATATTCACTCTTTATGTGTACTTTCCATCATGACTATCAATAATGTGTGTGTGTGTGGATCATTCTCATGAAATGAATACGATTCAAGATATTTCTAAAAAAATTATTTACACAATATCTGAACTAACCTTCCATGTTTCTTCAATTGGAACTATATCAAAGATTAGATTATTATTTTCATCTTTAGGAAAGTCAGAAGTACCAGACTATAAACAGAATTAAATTGTAAATAAGTTCTCAAAATAAATTATTATGAAGTATGTAAATATGTAGCAAGAAAAGATACTGTAAAATACTTCATAGATGAATATATACTTACTTATGCCTGTTATTCCTAGTGGAGCATAGGCTCCCGACAAGCATTCTCCAACCCACCCTGTCCTAGACATTTGTTTCTAGTTCTTTATTTATTTTTTTATATATTTTAACATATAGATATTGGTACAAGGAGGTACCAAATATATATGCGCTACACAAATCTCATTTAATTTGTGTGAGGGCTGTGATACTGCCCGGGTGCACAAACCGAAGCAGGTGGTTTTCTTAGGGGACCACACCCCGAGCCTTCGACCTGAACGTCTGATCCACAAGGCAGTGGAGCATCGTAAGGAGATGCAGTCCCATGGTAGCCGGTGACCAACGATTGGTTCATACGCGATTTGTTCCTTCAGGATACTGGAGCCCATGTACACCATTGGTTTGCGATCTGGTTAAAGCGATGGACATTCGCTATTCGTCCTCTCATTTTCGTAAACAACACATTGGATGTGAGAGGACAGTGAGTAGGACTTCAATTGTTGTTCATTTTTCTTATGTCTATCTTTATTTCTTAGCGTAATGTGTTGAATACTTATAAAACGGGAATATAATTGCAATTCTGAATATTCCTTACTGTGATCAACTATATGGATAGTATCGAACAGAGTGGATTTTATTACCATTGTTAATACGATTATTATTATTATTAGGACTTACGATGAATGTATATTGTTAGAAATTACCACATCTCACAGCGCTTAAGAATGAAATTGACAATATATTTTAAATACAACAGTGGGTGACATCCCAAACTGCAGTGAAAAAAATATTTAAAAGAAATCAATTATATTGAAAAAACAAAAAGTTGGTTATGATACTTGACAGGCTCAGCCCCCAAATACCATAGCACGGCCGAAAGTGTGGAGAGTCAGCTCTACCTCGAAAAATACTCCCATATGACTACGTGTATACAACCACTGTCAGGGGGAAGTCCTACTCACTGTCTTCTCGTGACGAGGGTGTTGTTCAGAAAATTGAGAGGACGGAAAGCGAATGTTTGGCTCTTTAACTAGGTTGGTGGACACGGAGAGTTCACCTAGAAGAGTTGGAAAACCAAAACTCCAAATCAATGGTGTACATGGGCTCAACGAACCTGAGGGAACAAATGGGGTATGAACCAATTTTTGTTCACCGGCTACCATGAGACTACATCTCCCCACGATGCTCTAGTGCCTTGTGGATCAGACCTATAGGTAGAAGACTCCGGGTGTGGTCTGCTAAGAAAACCCCCTGTCTCGGTTTGGGCACCCGGGTAGTATCACAGTCCACAAACAAATCAAGTGACTTGTGTGGCGCATATGTATTCGGTGCGCCTTTGTATCAATATTTATATGTTCAAATAAATAACATTTTTATTTATTTATTTATTTTAACACATAAGTATAGGTACAGGGAGGCACCAAATACATATACGCCACACAAATCTCAATTGATTTGTGTGAGGGCTGTGATACTGCCCGGGTGCCCAAACCGAAACAGGTGGTTTTCTTAGGGGACCACACCCCGAGCCTTCGACCTGAACGTCTGATCCACAAGGCAGTGGAGCATCGTAAGGAGATGCAGTCCCATGGTAGCCGGTGACCAACGATTGATTCATACGCCATTTGTTCCCGCAGGATACTGGAGCCAGCCCATGTGCACCATTGGTTTGGGGTCCGGTTAAAGCGCCAGACATTCGCTTTTCGTCCTCTCATTTTTGTAAACAACACCCCCGCCACGAGAAGGCAGTGAGTAGGACTTCTCTGGCAGAGGCTATATACGCATGGCCATGTGAGAGCATTTCGAGAGGGAGAGCGGACTCTCCCCACTCTCGGCCGTACCAGGGCATTTGGGGGCCAAATAAATAACAATATTTAGATAACTATAGAGATTTATTTTCATTATATCATCTGTGACGAATATTCTTTCAAGTTACCCAGCGCGTTCAACAATTAATTATAAGTGTTAAGTAGTAGAATATCAAAATGAAATATTCACTTTGCAATAGGGTTCGAACTACCAGTCATAACTTTTTATCACGTCTTCATTTGTCTACCTCTGGCTATTTCAAAACTCATGCTTATATCACTGATGAGTGTACAACTTTCGTTTTAGATGGAATTTTATAATAGAAAAATAATGAAAAGCATACATTACTAGATGAACTATTTACAGTATACATAACATTCACTGTTTGTTTGTTTGTTTTGTTTCATAATAGTTTTAATAAAGTGAAACATCTAGTTTTACAAACACTTACTTTGAAAGATACTGGAAAATGTATCAAATACAAATCTAAATAGTTTAATCGTAAATTTTTTAATGATGATTCACAGGAACTCTTGACATTTTCCGGTCGATGTCCTGTATGCCATAACTAAAACATTAAAAAAAAAGAAAATACACACTATCGTTAAAATACTATTAGAATGAAGGATTGGTGGTAATTATTTAACTTGAGCATTGTTTACACTATACATTGGTACTCGTTAAACACGATTACGAGTACTCGTACTCGTAACCAATGGTTGGAGACTTGGCTCAGAATCGATCGCAATTGCGTCAGTGTATACACTCTCTATCTTCCTTTAAACCAAGAGAATAAAATCGCTTCATATCTTTCTTTCTACGAACTAATTCTTTCTTCCTATACTATCTCCTTATATGCAATCTTTCTTCTCTATATATTACCACCACTGAATTAACTACTCCTATGAATTCGGTGTTCATCTTGTTGTGCTAATGAGGTGTGGCAACTTGGATCGATGCATATATGTGCCTGGTCCTACGTTGCAGCTGACTGACTCGTTAAACAAGCAAATAGTTCATCCCAGTATGGGAATTTAAAACAATTCATATATCACTTCTATAACCGTTCAAAACATAGGATATTCATGACTCGTAGTAATCATGTTATTTGAGTTGATATTAAACAAATTCAACTGTGTAATATTTCATTAAAATTATTCATTTTTCATCGGTAATTGAACAAACTTCTCATATTCACTTGGTGTGGTTTTACTTGTATCTTCCCATTGTTATTTAGGACAGCAATTGATCAGTCTCTCGTTGGCATATGTGCATCCTGTGCGAATTGACTTGATGTTGCCTGAAGTTACAAGCTTCCCATACTGATTACAATTATTTGATGATTACTGATAATGAATATTAAGGAGGATCACAGAAATTCTAGTACAAACGCATGACTGATTCAGTTCAAAGATGTCAAAAATGTAATAGTTATAGTCAATAACAATGAATGACAGTCATTTAATATTGTAAGGTTATATTGTTACATAATTAGATTTTGACGCAATGATCTTAAGGTGTAATGATTGGTGAGAAATTTGAAGATACTCACTGGAATGCTGTTTCGTCGGCGGTAAGGAGTAGTGGGACGTGCGGCTGATGGGTGGACATCAGATGTAGATGGCTCAGCAGGCCGGTAGAGCACGGGTGTTAAACAAAGGAAGTCTGAGTCATTTGAGATAATCGATGGACATTTTGCGAATTAAGCATTTACTATGTGATTGTTAGATTTTATTAACAAGTCCTGTAAATTGTGTCAAATACATTCGATTGTCCCCCACCCTTGTTCTGTTGACTACAATAATATGGGATTTCTTAACGTTGTGCATCCACGATCTCATACGCGGGATTCGAATCCAGTACCATATTTTACTGATATAGCTATTCGATTTCCTTCTAGTTTTCAACAGTTGTTTAAGGTAAAATCAATTTGTGACATTTATTACCTGAAAATATTTATTACAACTACTTACTTTAGAAGTGATAAATATTTCATCTCTGTTCAATTTTAAAGATTTCATTGAATCTTCTAAAGCTATACCAACTTCTATTTCATTTTTATAAATATAAGCACAATCTAAATGACGATAACCAACTTCTAAAGCTTTTTTTACAGCTTCACCAACTAAATCTGATGGACTCTAAACAATATCGTTATTGACTCATATTTCATAGTTTACATTCCATGTACCAAGACCGACAACAGGAATAGAATGACCATTGCTCATTCTTATTGACTTCATATTTTTGAGATTCTTACAATAAAACAAATAATAATTAAATTAGTTACTGAAGTTAGTTGATTTTCTATTGTAAATACTGAAGTATGAGAATGAGTTTGTGGAGATTGTAGTAATTTTAATAGTTGGATTCATGAATTAATCTAAGCTAGCTTACCAATGAAAACCTATAAGCATTGGGAGGTCATTTCGTCCTAATATGGGACTCGTCAACGGTGTGCATCCACGGTCACACATGCGGGACTCAAACCCAGGACCTTCGGTCTTGTGCGCGAACGTTTACCTTCAGACGACTGAACCGGCATCCAACGATGTTAATGTCTAAATTCAATCGATCCAATTAGTGCCAAATGATTCGATCAAATTGTGACGTAGAGAACCATGTTCATCGACAGCGAAACATAGTTGAAACGCGGCACAAATTTGACATTCATACAGCCTTTAAAACGTCGTGTAGAAATTGTCAGGGACAAATTCTTAGGTTTGTTGAAGCCTGGACTATTCATAATTTAACCCCCCTTATGCGTATAAACACAATTTGTCGTAACCTTGAATTTACCATCGTAATCCTTAAGTCATTTTATCGCCTAGGATAATGCGACAATTTCTTATTTGTTCTATACGATGTAAAATGCTTCGCCCTCAAATGCTCTGGTACGACCGAGAGTGCGGAGAGACAGCTCTCCCTCGAAAAATACTCTCACATGACCACGTGCATACAAGAAAATGTCAGAGAACTCCTTCTTAATGTCTTCTCGCGTCCAATGTGTTGTTTAAAAAATTGAGAGGACGGAAAGCGAATGTTCGGGTTGGTGGACACCGATAGTCCACCTAGGGGAGTTTGGAAAACCTTGATTCCAAACCAATGGTGTACATGGGCTCAACGATCCTGAGGGAACAAATGGGGTATGAACCAATTTTCGGTCACCGGCTACCGTGAGACTGCTCCATCGCCTTGTGGATCAGACGTTCAGGTCGAAGGCTAGGGGTGTGGCCCTCTAAGAAAACCACCTGCTTCTGTCTGGGCAACCCGGGTAGTATCGCAGCCCACACACAAATAAAATAAAAATTTGCGTGGCGCATATATATTTGGTGCCCTCTTGTACTAATATTTCTGTGTTCAAATAAATAAAAACACGGGCAGTATCACAGTCCACACACAAATCAAGTGACTTGTGTGGTGCATATGTATTCGGTGCGCCTTTGTACCAATATCTATGTGTTCAAGTAAATAAATAAGACTTAAACTTGGAGGTTCGGCTTCTAAAGACTAATCTAGTGCAAGTTTATGTACTCAGCTTCGAGCGAGACTTTAACTGTGAGACCTAGTGATACTACTTGGATCCCGAAGCCCGTAGTTTAAAAAAAGGATCTACCGATTGAAATGCGATTACTACGGCGATTAACCGGTTGCTTAAAAGCCTATTCCTAAGAAACATGGAAGAGAGACTAAAGCGGGGGCGATGGCCTCATTGACGTGAGAGTAACAATATACTCCCCAGATGATAGCTGATTAAAATATGGTCTTCCTGCGAATTATGGTTCACATTTTTACAGTGTTAATTCTGTACCTCTGAAACCTTACTAATACAACTAGAAATCTCTGGGACAAAAATCGCTACTTTTAGAACCACCTTTAACGAATGCATTTTTCCACCAGTGATTGTCATTTTCGGTGGGAACATTCTGATGCTTACATATATAAGCATATATCTTCATTGTCGTTAGGACAACTACGTTACTGAATCTGAATATTCCTGTTATTGGTCTTATAGCTTTCTAAATAGAACCTGTGAGAATAAAATCTGTTTCGTTAGAAATAGTCCCAATGAACTGCTGCGATAGCCACGATTGATCATCAGGTACCTACTAACAGATGGATCTAAGACACTGTTGCATAGATACTAATTGATAATCAATTTTCAATGGAACTAAGTGCACTATATTTACCTAACTAGTTTTACAGAAATCACTTGTATTGATGTGAAATAATTTCAGGTTAAAGACCACAGAAATAACATTTAGAAGTTAGGCAGTAAATCACAAACTTACGGAAAACGACTAAAAACAATCTAAAGTGAAATCTTAAAATATGAACTTTCAGAAATATTCGAATACCACCAACATGAGCTCACCTTAACAATTTGAATTGACGCTTAATCAAACTCTTCGTATTCAATTCACACATTACTTCCTTTCAAAGTTGGAAATCAAATACCTTCAATCAACTGAAAAGACGGATAAATTTGTCAGTCTTAACAGTAGAAAGAACAAATTAAGCCTCATTAACCTAGTTACTTCATTTACGAACAGTTAAGTTACATATTTACAGTCATATTATCGCCCTTATTTAAAGAATTCAGATGGTATTTTCATCAGATTCTAAAGAAACAGGTATACAACTACACTGATTAGTGAGCCGGATTACTAGTCATTTTCAGTTTCGAAGGGACAGGAAGCTAGAAGCCCTGTGTTAGTTCTGGCAATGATGGTCCATTAATTGATCCAATTTTTTCTAAAAGCGTCGCAATTGGAGCCTCGATCAGTTGTTAAGATAATCAATTCCATTTGTTATTGATTCGACGGGTAAATTGATAGTTACCTGACAAGTAATTTGTTCTGGGCTTGTAAACATTTTGGAGTGTCCTAGTAAATTTTCTGATTTGGAGGACATGAAAAATGGACGCATAACAGATACAAATTTATCTCTAAGTAATACAAAAGAAGTGATTTAGTCGTCTCTGTTGTTTCTACATGACAATGGAGATAAGTTTAGTTTCGCCAGTCGAGCATTTTACGAGGGCTTCGCCATTCCAGCAATCAGTTTAATTGTGGTTCTTTTAACCTGTCTCTTTCAAGCAGGAGCTAGCCGCTTGTATGCAGCACTGGAGTTTAGGACGCACAAATACTGCATGCAAAGTCAAAAAGTTTTTGGTAACGACCCCTAGTATTAACCGTAAGGTTGCAAAAGCTTCCTCCGCTATCGCACAGCAGTGTGCAGTAGTTTCTTTGTCTCGATTAACGATGAGCCCTACTTCATTGCATTTCTGGACAATAATAATAATAATAATAATAATATATTTCTGCATGAGCAGGTACACGCCATTTTTACAGGCATGATCTACAAATTATAACATTAGTTGGAGCATAGCATGCTTCCTAACTTATTAAGTTTATAGTTGTTATAAAGTACACTCGTAAAGCGCTTGTTATAAACCATGGCCTTGAGTTAACGCTTACGTCAAGTTTGTTCCAGACGTTAGAAGTTTCATAGCTGTGCCCTCGGAGCAAGATTCTGAAGAAAATAAAAAAGAGAAACAGCAGAGCAACAAGGCACTTGGATATGGACTCCAAACGTTGCTTAACATTACGTAGAACAGACAAAGGTATAATAAATTAGATTAAATTCATATTATCTCTTGTTAGAGTGAAATAAAGTCAGAGGCTCCATTCAAGAGAATGTAGTAATAAAGAACAATAAATTGTGATGTTTAACAAGTTGGATTAAGCTCATATGAAGGAAGGGAAGTTAAGGTTGGTACAGGGAAAGTTGTTTATTAGAAGGGAGTGTGCATATAAAGGGTGAAGTGTTGAAAATATTAATAACTATATCTTTTGTTGTCTGATTTTTTCTTTCTTTTTTTCATCCGATGCCAGCCACACAATCCATGTGTAAAAGTCCGAGTTAGCATGTTATAGGTTGTCTTAGTAGAATAGCTACTCCAGTATAAAATTGGAAACATGAGTCTGAGTGGTGAGCGTAGGAAGATAATCTATATCACAGATTGATTGACTTATGCTCAATCATAGAGAGCCTGATACATACAAAATGTTCTGCCCCACAAACACGGGTGGATTGAAGTCATCGCCCTCACCATCAATGCTTGCTGGTCAGTAACTCCACTCTCCCTCCTTTTGTGATGTTAGGCTAATTTAAGCTTATTCTTGGATATATATCATACCTCACACAATCCTCTGTTTCACAATCTGTTGGAAAACACTATTTCTATAAGTACCATTTTACAAGCTTATCAGGCAGTTACAAATTATGAACTGTGGGTAAGGCATCGATGCAGTGCTTTAATTGACTATAGTATAAAGTATAGTTTGCCTATTAAAGTATAAGCATTAAGAGGGGTGTAATGTAGGATAGTGGCGGAAAAGTATAGAAGTATATGGGTTGTAGATTAGGTAACGAGTGGAGGAATAATATTAATTGCTAGTCAACATGGTGTGCAGAAGAGTAAAAAGCAAATAAGCAATAAACAAGGATAGACTCACACTAACTTGGTGCTGATGTTCTTTTGTATTGTCCTAACCAGTTGATGGGTAACAGGCTTCAAAGATGCAGTTCGATCGGTATTAGGCAGTCGATTGCGCGGTTCTCTTGACTTTTTAGGGTGCTAGTGTGTCTCTTAGCGACCGAGTTTAGTTGGACAGTATCAGCAGGTTACTCATCATGTATTTATCTTTACCTTGATGACCGATATGCATCAAAATACAATTGGAAGTACTTATCGGCAACTCTTAAGTTTGAGACCATTCAAATAATTTCTCTAGGTCATTTTGAGGTTCTAAACTATTACTTCTACTTCTCATCACTCTCCATATCTTGACATCGTCAGCACAAAGCGAGACCGATGATGATGGGAGACGAATAAGGTCATTCACATAAAATAGGTATAACACCGGCCTCAAAACTGTACCCTGAGGCACTCAGTCGAGCACAGTTTCCCAGCTAGACAACTTGGAGTTCATCGGTCTTCTTTGTTGGTGCCCATCAAGAAAGTCTCTTATCCACAATAATAGACTGTCTCCAGCCCCGACGTTCCTTAACTGATATAACAGTCGTTTGTGAGAAACATAATGAAAAGCTTTGCCGAAGTCAATGTAGGCAACATCTATAGGTATCGTTTGGTCTTTAAAAGCGAACCAGCTTTCACGACCAACGAATCAGTCAATGAGACAAGAATAACCAGTTCTAGAACCATACTGCTTTTCGA